GTGACCATCAAGCTAAATGTCTCGCGGGGACGCATATGACCGAGCGCCTATAGTCTGTCACTTCATTTCAGAGAAGGATCTGTCATTGGAGCTTTACCCGCATGCTCTGCTTGATTGGTAAGTAGCTGACCCCCTCCCTCAATGGATGTGGTGTGGGGCGCGGATACTCCCTGGGGTGGTCAGTCTCTATAGGGTTCTCCCCCCTCTGACAGGCCTGGGCTCCTGTACCCTACCCACCCTCCGTCTTTGGCATCAGGGAGCTGCATTGAGTTTTCCCTTTGGTAACAACTGCACTTTGTGCGTCGGAGAGTCCTATCTGTGCCCTTGGGTGAATAACCACCTAGTCTCACGCAGTGGAGGTCCACCAGTATCTTCAAGGACAGGGGGCTTCCCCTTCCTTATCAGCAGTTAACTCTTGGGACTGGCCTTCTACGTGGGCCAGAGCAGCTCTTTGGCATGCTGAGTGTCAGCTCCTGAGATACAGCTACTGGCACAATGAGTGAGGGAACCCAGAGGCTGCGTCCAGGGTACCAACCATAACAACTGGCTTAATAAGGGCATGGTGATCCCGGCTGAGGAATCTCTCTCCTTTAAGAATTCTGCAGATCGCAGGGAAGAGGCATTAGCCTGGTCGATCGATATTCACAATTGCTGTATCAGCTCCGGCCTGTGTTGGCCAGGGCCCTGGTATCTTAGACGCTGACTGCATGGGGCAAAGTTTTGCAACAAACCTTGACTTTCAGCCAAATGCCCCAAGTGTATGTGGAACTTGCGGATCAATTGGTCCAGGTTCTGCAGTACATTTGTGACATGTCTCAGGATGTGCCCCATTTCTATCCAAACTTCCCATTTCGATGGTGGTTCTGAGGTGGGTCCTTTGTTTCAAATGTTGCTCGGCTAACCAGACTACCAAAGAAGGCCTGGCGATCCTGCCCTTCCAGGGAGACCGGATGTTTGGGGCTACGCTGGATGATATAATCGAGAATCTTATAGGTGGAAAAGGTACCCCCCGGGCCAAATAGTGAAAGGAACCACTCATTCCCCTGGGCCCTTGCCAAACTGCTCTAAACCTGTTGAGGACACCCTTAGGTGGCACCAAGTGTCTCTGGCCTCAGAAGCCCTTCTTTAAGTTCTCCTTGGCATGAAGGTTTGCCCCCACTGCTATCTTTGGTGGGCGGTTGCCTCCGCTGATTTCCAGGCCCTTGGACTTCCCTCACTCCCTAGTGCCTGAGTCAGGGCAGTTTTGGGGATTTTTCTTCCAATCTGTTCAGTCCCCAAGACGGTCGGACTTTGCCTTGTCCTGGCTTTCAAGACCCTGAATGCCTTCAAGAGGAAATTGGTTCACTCGGGGTTCTCCCCTTTTGCAAGGGGAATTTTCTGGCATCCATAGACTTCAAGGACGCTTACCTGCACATTCCCATCTGCAAGGGAGATTAAGGTTTCCTATGCTTTGCTATCGGGGACACACATTATCAATTTGTAGCGCTGCCCTTCTATATAGATTCTGCTTCCTATGTGTTTTTAAGGTCTTGGCCCTGGTCCTGGCCTTGCTGAGACAATGGGGGATCGCTCTGACCTGTCACCTGGACGACTTACTCCTGCGAGTATAGAATCGTTCATCTCTGTTGGACAGCGTGGAGATCACAGTGCTTTCCCTCCAGGACTTTGGCTGGATACTGAACCTCAGGAAGTCTGTGTTGACCCCATCCAAGCACCTGGAGTATCTGGGTCTGAGCCTTGATTTCGGGGTGGGCCAAGGTGTTCCTTCCACTGGACAAACTGTGGAAGCTCCAGTCTGTAGCCCCCCCTGTGTTTTTGCTTGCAGGTTTTAGGCCTGATGGTGGCTATCTTCAAGGCAATTCTGTACGCACCGTTCCATACGAGAACACTGCAGAAGGATCTCTTGTCCAACAAGAACAGGTCTCTCCCACTGCCTTGGACGTTCGGATTCATCTGGAGCGATCGAGGGCCTCCCTCCTCTGGTAGTTATGGTCTTCAGCCCTCCTGAATGGTAAGTCCTTTCTTCTCCTTCACTGGACTCTGGTTCACGACAGATGCTAGCCTGTCAGGTTGGGGAGGAGTCCTGGGATTGGACTCGACTTGGGGTCGCTGGACTCCAGAGGACACACCTGCCCATCAATATCTTGTTGCTTCGGGCAATCGGGTTTTCACTGACGCATTGGACAGATCCTCTAAAGCACAGGTGTCAAATGCAAGGACCGTGGGCCGAATCTGGCCCTCCAGGCCATTTTCATGTGGCCCTTGCACCTCTCCTGCAGCTACAGTACCCCTTGTTTCTGCCCCCACCTTGTGTCAGCAGCATAGAGGAGGACCTAACTCCTCCTCCAGATGCTGCACCTCTCAGTGCAGCTGCAGTACCTACTCACCTCTGCCTCCCCTGGTCTCAGCATTGAGTAGACTCTGGTAACTGACTCCACTCCTCCTCTAGTCCTCCTCCAGACCCTGCACTTTCTGCTTCCCAGCTCTGCCCCCAAAGGGGGTGCACTGTGATGTTAGGGAGGATGGGGATTTTTGACATCTGATGTAATGGGGGGTGGGGTGCTCTGGACATCTAGTCTCACAGATACAACTGGCCATTTGAGGGCAGCCATAATGCTGATACGGCCCGTGATGAAATGGAGTTTGACACCTCTGGTCTAAAGGGTCTACTGACCAGGAACCAGTTGGACAAAACCATCGTGGTGGCATGTGTCGCTCATCTGGGAGGCACAAGTAGCGCATTGGCGGCTCTGTGAGAGTCTCCTATCCTGCGATGAGCGGAAAGGTTCGTTCAGACTCTGTCCGCCATACATGCTCCAGGTGTCGAAAACTGGCAAGCGGACCACTAGATCAAGACGAGTGGTCCCTACACCAGGTGTTCAATGGACTCTGTCTTCACTGGGGGACGCTGGATGTGGATCTCCTAGCGTCCCACCTCAACCAGCAGGTACCTGGCGAGACCATTGGATCCTCTGGCGGATGAACCGGGTGTGCTAGTGGTGTCATGGGATCAATACTATCTCATCTACGCCTTTCCACCCCCCTTCATATCTCGCCTGTTGCGCAGGATAGCAACCGAAAGGATCCTGGTGGCTCTGGACAGGATTTGTGGTACGCCAACGTAGTCCGGTTGGTGGCAGATGCTTCCTGGCACAACCTCTTCAAGAGGACCTTCTGTCCCAAGGGCAGTGTTCCACCCTGCTTTACCACTGTTGGCTTTATCAGCTACATAGTCGATGGAACACCTCCGGGTGTAGGGACCACTCACCTTGATCCAAGTTCTGAAGGATAAGGGGTTGTCTGCTTCGGTGACCCTGACTCTGTTGAAGGCTTTTAAGTCTACCTCCTAGAGGATTTATCATCGCACCTGCTAAACCTGTATCATTTGGTGCAAAGCTCTGGGTTTCCATCCTCACTCCTTCTCAATGGCTCGGCTGTTGGCCTTTCTGCAAGGAGGCGTAGACCAGAAGTTTTGAGCATTGTCAGAGGTCAAGTGTCTTCACTGGTGGTTTTCTTTCAGCTTCCCTTGGCCACGTGCTCTTTGGTCTGTACTTTCATTCAAGGGGATTTTCATGCATTTCCCGTTGCCACCTTGGGACTTGAATTTGGTACTGTCGGTTCTTCAGAAACCTATCTTTGAGAGCATCTGGGATGTTCTCTTGCTTATGCTTGCTCCAAAATGTTGCCTTCCTAGTCCCTATCATGCGAAGGGTGTCTGAGTTGTGGTGTTGCCCTTTAAGCCACCTTATCTGATTTGTCTACCGATGGTTTTGTCAGATTTTCACTTGAAAAAGGTCATTGTTCTTCTTTCTCTGTGGCCCCGGCCAACATGCCCTGAGGAGGTGGCCTTGCACCCTTTGGACATGGTTCAAGCCACCTTTTCCCGTTGGATTCGGCAGACGATTGTGCAGGAAAATGCCATTATGGGGTGGGAACCTTCTTTCCTTGTTATGACACACTCCACCAGGGCAGTTACTCCTGGGCTTTCCAACATGGGTGTCTGTTTTTTCAAGTCTTCAAACGGTGACTTAATAGTCTGTTCACTTGTTTGCTAATTTTTATAAAGTTCATGTGTTGGCATCCTCGGATTCTTGTTTTTGCTACAACATTTTGCAGATGGCTGTTTGAATTCTCAGACACCCTTTGGGGTGGTTCAGAGTGTTTGGCATGTGGCCTAGGTTTTTCTCTCCATTTGTTGTTTTGTCCACCCCTCGTTGTGGCACTGCTTGGGGACATCCCTGCTTGGTCATGGATTATGAAGAGAAGCTGTGTCCATCCATGAACATAAGAGAATATGGGATTTTTTATTACCGTAAAATCCCTTTCTCTTGAGTTCACTGATGGACACCGCACCTACCCCTCTTTTTAACTTGCTTGTGACTGACTGAAAGCTTATATCAGATAGGGGGTATGCACAGAAAGGAACTGCCAAATAGGAGGTGCCAAGTCTTCTTTTTTTTTCTGCCTAGTGTCCTACTCCTGTAGGTGGGCTATACAACCCTGTTCGGTCATGGTTTATGAAGAGAAGCTGTATCCATTAATGATGGTATTTTACAGTAAAAAGAAGTCCCGTTTTGGGTGGTTCTAAGTAATTATTCTAGCAAAAAATACTTTTAACTCTAAACAATTGTCAGAATTGGCTTGGTCTTAAAAAAGGTTAAAGTAGCAAAGTGCTGAACAGAAAAAACAATACCCTGGTCATTAAGGATAAAACCTTCTGGAGGTACAGTGGTTAAACATTTCATGTTTTCTCTTGTGAATAAAATATGGGTTTATGAGATTTGCAAATTACTGCATTCATGTTTTTATGTAGATTTTACACAGCATCCTAACTTTTTTGGAATTGGGGTTTGAATACCGTTGATGCAAATTATGAAAATAATAGGAATATAGTTGCACTCACTTGTAAAGGTACTGATAGGTCCGCTTTTGTAGTCTTTTGCGTATCAAAATAAATGCTCTGTAAAATTGAGTTAAAACTGTCAACTGTCACTTTTCAGACTTAGAGATGGCCATTGCCTACTGGAATTTAGTACTAAATGGACGTTTCAAATTCCTAGACTTATGGAACAAGTTTTTATTGGTAAGATTGCTTTTTTTTTCCCCCACTTTGCACTTTTAACAGATTTAATTATTATTAGTTACAATATTAGCAACTGCTTTTACAGAGTTCGGCTGGCACAGTATGAGGTCACCTCCCTATGTTAGAAATAGGAGGTAGCCTTGTGAAAGTTTAACATTTTCAGGCTTATTTAGTAAGGTGAGAATCAGTGTGCATCGTGTGACAACCAACAGTAGCCGGTCAGATGTTGCCTTTCATCGGTTTACTTCAGTAAATGGGAGTTTAGTTATGGCATCTCACTCTTTGTACTATCTTCCTGAATCAAGATACTTGTATTTCTTTAAGACTGTTATATAGGTAAATGGAATGTGATTTAAGCTCATTTAATCACAGTGCATGCATATTGGAGGGGCCAGGAGTGGCAGTCTGGTGAACCTCGCATAGAATATCAGATTTGTGTGGTATGCTTTATGACAGCTGTCTTGAAGTATCGTTCTTCTAAAAATGTCTGTTTTCTATCTGCAGGAACACCATAAACGATCAATACCTAAGGACACATGGAATCTTCTACTAGATTTCAGCACAATGATAGCAGATGATATGTCAAACTATGATGAAGAAGGTATGGATTAGCATGTCCCTGTTGGAAACAAAGTACTCTCTACTTTAAAATTGCCATCCAAAGCAGCCTGGAGTCCTCAAACAGTGACAGTTAAAATACTATTTGCTTAGCAGTAGGCACCCCATTACATGACAATGCCTGGACCTGCTGATTGGTTTTTTAGGCCTCAACAACCTGGCAGAGTTAGCAGTTCCAGGTACCCCATTGCTGACAGCACAGGCAGAGTAAGTAACAGGCATATAAGAATTGGTTTGGTGAAAGACTTTGACCACCAAAAGAGGAATAAGATTGTGAGCAATGGACTGAATTTTTTTTTTGCCTCTAAATTTTTACACCTTCTGCTTCTTATCATCTGACTGCGCTTTTTTCTTTTTTCTACAGGAGCATGGCCAGTTCTCATTGATGACTTTGTGGAATTTGCACGTCCTCAAATTGCAGGGACAAAAAGTACAACAGTGTAGCACTAAGGAACCTTATAGAATGTACATAGCCTGTACAAAATAACACAACAGATAATTACACAGTCAGTTTCTTCTGGCTGGACTGATTTGAAGATCAACCCTGGCAGCATCTCCGGAGGGTTGAAAGAGACATTTGGAGACATCTTATAAGACCATATTCTATTTCATTCTCTTGGTGGTTTGGGCCTGTTTACTAGTCCTGGAGCGCAATTTCCACTTCATGTTTCCAAATCATGGATTTCATCACATATCTATGGAACATCCTAGTTTATCCTGTCATCAATTTTAGATTGATTCTGTGGATTGTTCACTTGCATAAAGCAAATGCCACATTCATCTGCTAAACTCATCATAGCCCCGGCGATGCCTCTTTGCTAGTGCCAGAGACTATGCAGGTAGCACCTCATCCAATAATGTGCTGTTGTTCTCCCATAAAGAGACAAAGAAATCAATGTTCATCATCATCATCCTCATCCTCCTCATCTGTTTTGGATCTCACCGTACATGGCGGGCAGTGCTCCGTTGTCGATACCAAAGCAAGTGTTTTGCTGGGATTGTAGAGGACGTTAAAAAACAAAAAACAAAAAAAAAAAAAACAAAAAAACTATCAAACTCTTATGATTTATCCCCTACCCCACCAGTGTTGTGAAAGTGTAAACATCATGTACGGTATGTTTTGAATCCTCTGCTGAAGATGGAAGCCAGTTGCACCTGTTTCTTGCTGTTGATAAACAAGTCAGAGGCCCATCGCTGGTCTGTGTTGGCGCCTCTGAGAATGGTTTCTTTCTATCTGTATGTTCAGCATTTGTATGTGACTGTAAACTTGTTCATTTTAATGCCGGTACTTTTCCAGGAAGGATAAATCTGACATATCAGTCTGTGCGTCATCTTGCTATTGTCCTCTCACGACACTTGTAAAACACTTGTCACCCTGTATCAACATGCAGATGCCCTTTTTTATTTTACAAAATTCATGACCCAACTGATTATCTGCAAACATTGAAGGTGAATTCCTATGTAGTATAATCCTGCACATGTAAAGTACATATCTGCAAGTTTAAAATAAGATGAACCATTAGAAGTCAAAAAATACCAAATGAAGTTTTGCCTGAAATATCAAATAGCATAACATGTCCTACTGTCAACTTGGTATGATTTCTTTTAATAATTGCACCCCTCCATGGTTCTGTACATTCTGCAGTTCCGCCCAGTGGAGTTTTCTCTCTTTTTGTTTTTTTTTTTTTTTTTAAGAGCTGGAGGTATCAGAAAAATAAGATTGGATATTGCATTTTCTTTGTGACATGCAAAATAACATTTAATTTATCTAAATCTGTGCGTTTTTGTTGTTGATCATCCCTGGTTTCATATGAGTTCAAAATCTAAATTGTTAGCCTTTTAAAGTATTGTATGGAAAAAAAAAAAAAAATCACTTTGGACAAAATGTCACATCAGCAGTGTGGATTCCGAATACAGCCCTTGAACCTTGTTCACCAAGATATAGGTGTAGTAGTTGATTTTTACCTCAATAAATCTCATCACACATGCATATCCTACAGTCTGACTGTATAATCTCCTTTTTCTGTGAGGACAGTCCTTAAAAGGTAACTCTACTTTCATGGGGAAAAAAAATTAGCAAAGCATACAATTGAGACACAAGTCATATTGTAATTGAATGTTATTAAAATCTACCTTTTCAATCTACAGCGCTTTAATCTGTAAATTGCAATGCAGTATGGCTACCTGGAGGTGTTCTGTAGACAGACTGTGTACAGTACGCCCCCCAGCAACATCATTTCCTGCTTGTGTGATTGGCTCACTGACTTTCCCAGAAGTCTGCACTAAACTAAAAGTCAGATTTCAGGCATCTCCTTCAACAAAAATGTCATTTTTGGTGACATACAATTTATTTATTTTTTATTTATTTCAGGTACTTATATAGCGCTGTCAATTTACGCAGCGCTTTACACATATATATTGAACATTCACATCAGTCCCTAACCCTCAAGGGGTGCACAATCTAAGGCCCCTAACTTACATTCATACATATGCATATTAGGGCCAATTCAGACAGGATCCAATTAACCTACCAGCATGTCTTTGGAGTGTGGGAGGAAACCGGAGCACCCGGAGGAAACCCACGCAAGCACAGGGAGAACATGCAAACTCCATGCAGGTGGCGCCATGGTCTGGAATCAAACCCATGACCCATTTACTACAAGGCAGATGTGCTAACCACTAAGCCACTGTGCCACCCCATACAATAGGAAATCACGTCTAAAAGTGCAGCAGCTGATTGATAAATATAAAACCACCCCCATTAGATTCACAGACAAACAGCTATTTCTCCAGAATAACAAAAGGTAGGAATCTGCAACAAAGTTTTACAATCCTTTTTTTTTCTCAGCAAAAGTGGAGTTACTCTTAAAGTTGATTGCATGGTCAGATTGTAACATGTATGGAAGCTGAATAAAGACCAAAGGATGGATCTCCCACCCGGCTCTTATCTTGCCAGGGTCACATCAGTAGACCAAGCCTTACCTTTAAGCTGAGCTACTCCTTTCACTGACCCAAATGTGTTCTCTGTATTTTCTATGGTATATCCACTCAAGCTGCCTTTTTTAACTTTTTACAGCAAAAAAGTTTACAAAAACAAAAAAAATCTTAGGGATAATTGGGAAAATGCTCTTTACATTGATGGTCAGTGAGATTAATGCACTCCTTACAGACAGATAAAAAGATTGCTGTGTCATTTTGCTAACTCTGCCAAGTGCCATTGGTAGTCACCATCAGGTGGGATGTAAGTCAGTCAAGACTCGCAGAACCTTCACTGAGAGTGGCTGCACTAGAGGGTGCACATCCCGGCATTGTTTTTTTCCGGGGGTGATCAGCTGTTTTGTAAAAGGCATCTGAGCAGCTAATTAGCCACTGGATTGCTTTTACAGGTGGCGGAGGCTTTGGACTCCAGATATCTGAGTACCTGCCACTGCCTATTGCTATCACAAGTGATGTTTACATATGTAAATGGAAATTGCACCACACGTGAGGTATTGCTGCCAGTGTCAGAGCGAGAGCAATAATTCTAGCCCCAGACCTCCTCTGTAACTCTAAACTGGTAACCTGTAAAGGTTTATAAAATGTTGTCTATGGAGATTTCTAAATACCATAGTTTGGCAGCGTTCCACAATTCTGAAATGTTTGGTATCTGTTTACCCAGCGTAACACCTTATTTTATATTTTACAAAAAAAAAATGGGTATTATATTGTGTTTGTGTGCATTGAAATTCATAAAAGTGTATTTTTTTGAATTGAGTTAGAAAAACTGCTGCATAAATACCGTGTCACATAAGTAGTTGCCAATCCCACCATTTTATTCTCTATGACCTATGCTAAAAACTATGTAATCTTTTTTTTTTTTTTTGGGGGGGGGGGGGGGTTCTAAATACTTTTCTAGCAAAATATACAGATTTTTAAATGTAAACAAAGTGTCAGAAAAGGCTGGATCATTAAGTGGATCTAGTATTATCGCTCTCCTTAAAGCAGAATTTCACCCTACAGAGGAAGTTCTGCTCTATGCCCTCCTCCTCTTCTTCCTTTGGAACGTTTTGTTTTGAGGGGTGGAGCCTCCATTTCTGGTTGGCTCAGCTAAGCAATTCCAGCAGAATTTCAACCCCCTCCACACAAGTTTCTAGGACATGTCAGGTCCCAGAGGGCTGTGGAACCATTCAGAAATCACAGTTTGTGCATGCTCAATGGGAAGCCAGCTTCCCACAGTTAAAATGCCAGCATCGGGGACCTGAAGAACCGGCCCAGATGCATATGGCGCTGGATCCCTGGACAGGTGTCATTTTATTAAAAGTCAGAAGATTCAGTATTTGAACCTCTTTAAGGTTTTTGACATGAGTAGTGCAGCTAAGAAGCCATGGTGGTGAAAGGAAATTTG